TCAGGTCATGATCTCACAGTTCGTGAGTTCAAGCCCCACACTGGACTCACTGCTGTCAGTGCAGAGCCCAGTATGGATCCTCTGCCCCCCTTTCTGTCCCCCCACCTGGTGTTCTCCCCAAAAAAATACTTTTAAAGAAGGATTTATACTACAAAAGATGACCCTGTCAAAGATGAATTTTAAATCCCCTAATGTTGTATTTGTTATTCAGAAGAGGATTTGTCATTTTCAGATACAACTAAAAGTCCATTTTCTTAAAAAAATGTAATGTGTTTTAAAAATTTTTATAAAACATATTTTGTGTTTACTGTAGAACAAAATCACAGTGAATTACAAGTAACATAATTCCATGGGTACATTTTTCCATTGCAGTCAATTATTATTAGTACTGATTTATAAATTTCCACTAAAGAAGAGCTTCACGTCTTAAAATCAAAATCCATAGTTACTAAAAATTCATGCTTCAAAACTGTTTCTTAACTATGTAGTAAAGAGCTCAATGAGGTGAGTATTTTCATCATGTTTCAAGCTTATAAAATTTTTACAACCATTGTTTGGGGAAATTACTTTAGAGGAAAGAGAACCCTCATTCAACAAATAGTCAATCTAAAAACTTATTGATTGACTACATTTCAACCACTTAGTAATTATGAAAACAGTAAAGCAGAAGTATAGCAGCCTTCAACAGAAATAAAAATTGAGTGGCAAAAATCTACATAATTCAAGTAGCTTTATCTTATCACCTGGCTATGTCTTCTAACTGCAGATCAACATCTTGAAGTTTCTTTTGATATTTCTCTGTAAAGTTATAGAACTCATTAAGAACTGAAGATTTTAAATCAGGGTATGGGCATTCCAAGGTTTCTAATTCCATGGGCACTTCACTAAGCAGGTTACATCTTTCTTCTGAAGAATGATCTAGTATCTGAAAAACAGTTTATGATTGTTTTATTTAACATAAATGACAAATTGATAAACAGATTACTATATGCATCACACTTACTTTCATACTCCAGTCTGAAAGATAGTTTTCTATTTTCTGTTGCTCCAGGCTAAGTCTTTCAAAGACAGCTTTCAATTGTGTCTTCACAAAGTCAACCTGTAACATATAGATAAAAGAAAGTCCCTTTGAGAACCTGTGGAAGAGGGTTTAAGAGATGCCATAGCTAGGCAGTGCTTTCCAGAAGGGGGCTTTCAGACATCGATCCTAAAAATGGAGCTAGGAGTATGGTGGGGTCATAGACACTCTATACCCTCATTTGGATTTTGTTTGTGGTAAGGCAGAGCGCTTACCAGACTATTTCTGGCTCAATCACCCCTTCTTCCGCTAGCATCCCTGCCTCCAGTCCCCAGCTGGACATGGGGTTTTTAATACCTTTTTAAAAAATATACAGGGCGCCTGGGTGGCTCAGTCGGTTAAGCGTCCACCTTCAGCTCAGGTCACGATCTCACGGTCCGTGGGTTCGAGCCCCGCGTCGGGCTCTGGGCTGACGGCTCAGAGCCTGGAGCCTGCTTCCGATTCTGTCTCCCTCTCTCTCTACCCCTCCCCCGTTCATGCTCTGTCTCTCTCTGTCTCAAAAATAAATAAAAAATGTTAAAAAAATATTATTGGGGCATCTGGGTGGCTTAGTTGGTCGAGCGTCCAACTTCTGCTCAGGTCATGATCTTGCAGTTCGTGGGTTCAAGCCCTGTGTCAGGCTGTGTGCTGACAGGAGACTTTAATTTGGGTTTCAGTCATAAACATGGTTCAGAGGGTTTGAGCCCTGTTTCTAGGTTTCCTGCACTTGCAGCACAGGGCTTTAGGATTTTTTTTCTCTCCCTTTTCTCTCTGCCCCTGCTCTCTTCTCAAAAAAGAATTTTAAAAACTTTTAAAATATATATTCTTTTGAAGAGAATTTAGAGGTCAATATACTAGAATAAAGGCATATTTTCCTATAAATATTCTGCAGAAACTACACGCAAAACACATGAGGTAAGCTATTGATCTGACCCTGCCAGTGGCATTTTGGTTTACCTATTAAATTAACTTTAATATAGAATCTACACTACAGAAAGGGTGCCCGGTGGGCTAGTCGGTTGAGGCCTTGATTCAGGTCATGATCTCACAGTTCGTGGGAGTTCAAGCCACTGGTCTCCATTGCTGTCAGTGCAGAGCCCAGTGCTGATCCTCTGCCCTTCTGTCCCCCCCCCACCTGGTGCTCTCCCAAAAAAAATACTTTTTGAAGAAGGATTTATACTTACAAAGATGACCTCTGTCAAGATGGTCTCAAATCCCTTAATGTTGTATTTGTTATTCAGAAGAGGTTTCATTTTCTAGATACAATCCAAAGTCCATTTTTCAAAAAATGTAATGTTTTAAAATTTTAAAACATATTTTGTGGGCTTACTGTAGAACAAAATCACAGGACTACAAGTAACATAATCTCCATGGGTACATTTTCCATTGTAGTCAATTATTGTTAGTAATTCGATTTATAAATTTCCACTAAAGAAGAGCTTACGCCTTAAAATCAAAATCCATAGTTAAAAAATTCATGTCAAAACTGTTTAACTATGTAGTAAAGAGCTCACGAGGAAAGATCATAAGCTTCAAGCTTATAAAATTTTTACAACCATTGTTTGGGGAAATTACTTTAGAGTGAAAGAGAACCTCATTCAACAAATAGTCAATCTAAAAACTTATTGATTGACTACATTTCAACCACTTAGTAATTACATGAAAAAACAGTAAAGCAGAAGTATAGCAGCCTTCAACAGAAATAAAAGGCAAAATCTGCTATAATTCAAGTAGCTTATCTTATCACCTGGCTATGTCTTCAACTGCAGATCAAGATCTTTCGATATTTCTCTGTAAAGTTATAGAACTCATTAAGAACTGAAGATTTTTTAAATCAGGGTATGGGCATTCAAGGTTTCTAATTCCAAGGCACTTCACTAAGCAGGTTACATCTTTCTTCTGAAGAATGACTCAGGCATCTGAAAAAACAGTTTATGATTGTTTTATTTAACATAAATGACAAATTGATAAATGATTACTATATGCATCACACTTTCATACTCCAGTCTGAAAGATAGTTTTCTATTTTCTGCTGCTCCAGGCTGTCTTCAAAGACAGCTCAGTCTTCACAAAGCTTCAACCCTGTAACATATAGATAAAAGAAAAAGTCCCTTTGAGAACCTGCAGAGGGTTTAAGAGGCTGCCATAGCTAGGCAGTGCTTTCCAGAAGGGGCTTTCAGATTACCCATCCTAAAATGGAGTTTATATGGTGGGCCTGACACTCTATACCCTCATTTGGATTTTGCTTCAGGTATACAGAAAGCGCCACCAGGACTATTTCTGCCCAATCACCCTTCTTCCGGCCAGCATCCCTGCCTCCAGTCCCCAGCTGACATGGGTTTTAATACCTTTAAAATATACAGGGCTTCAGGTGGCTCAGTCGGCTGTCATCCACCTTCAGCTCAGGGTCACACGTCCAGGGTTCGAGTCTGGCCGGGCTCTGGGCTGGACGGCTCATTCTGAGCCTGCTCCTATCTCCTGTCTCCCCTCTCACCCTCCCCACCATGCTCTGTCTCTGTCTCCAAAATAAATAAAATAAAAGCAAAAAATATTATTGGGGCATCTGGGTGGCTTAGCTGGTCGAAGCCGTCCAACTTCTGCTCAGGTCATGATCTTGCAGTCTGTGGGTTCAAGCCCTGTGTCAGGGCTGTAAACATTAGCTCAGAGCCTAGGAACCTGTTTGCAGATTCTGTGTCTCCCTCTCTCTGCCCTTCCCTGCTTGTCACT